AATTATCTTACCAGCGGTGTTGCCACTCTTTTATTGATGTCTTTGATTTGGAAATTAGCTGATGATCAACGAAATGCAGCTCATATCTGTTGCTTTTGGTGTCGTTCAATCCATTAAATCTGCATACGCGGGAGTTTAAGATCGGATTTATATCCGTTTTGCAAAAACACATTTATGTGGCCAGGTGTAAATGGAATCGCTACTTATTATCCGGATAACTTGTCTGGATACAGATCGCATTTTAATACCAGGTGTAAATGGGGTCTCTTATTTTTCCTGAACACCATCACGATTGAAAATGTGACATTGATTTCCTACAACAGTTCAATAAACAGTAAAAAATTAAATCACTTACATTTTAGATGCTATATTGGCTGTTTTTGTTGTGTTTCAGCAGCGAAAATAGTTCCAAACAATAATCACAACAGAACCACGGCACATGTCACAGGAACACTCGACGTGTTTTCATTACTGAATCATTCAGCATTTTGAACGAATCGATTGAGTCAAAGATTCAAAGACACATTCAAAAACATCGGTCTCATTCTTGAATGATCAGCCGTTTGAACGAATCGTTTGAATGAATGAATTGAATGACTCACTCATTAAGACGGTCGCCTGCCACCACCTACTGGCGGTTTAGTGTTAAATGTTTAAAAGTAGTATCATTCTTTCCCAGTTTCTTATGTAAATTTAAATAAATGTCATAACATTATTTTATGCAATTGTGATTTTTCAGTGTAAATGATTTAATTTGATCAGACCCTAGAGTAACAGCCCATAGTGTCTTATTATTCAAAATAATACACCTGAATTTATAGTTTACCCACCTCTTTTTTTTACCACTACACCTCTGACCATAGTGTACATTAATTGACCACGTTCTAGCATGATTTATCATTATTTACAGTGATTGGGGCTTGGATGATTGGATTTTAATGTGATTCTAGGAATATAGTATAGCTATTTACCACGTTAATAGCAATTATGTGAAGATTCAGAACAACTGAAGTGATAAACTTTGACAAAAAAAATGATTGTGTTCAATATTTGACTAAATGTGATTGCAAATGTTAAAATAGTTAATTAATAAAGTCATAATATTAATTATAGTTGAGTAGTGAGACAATTACTATTTTGAACAGCAGAGGGCAGTCAAACACCACTTATTGGCTTAATAGACCATCATATTGATATCATTTCACCTTTTTAACTGTTATTTAGGCCTATTCTGTCAGATCTGTCTGAAAATGTTCATGATTATTTAATGTCACATGTTCTGACTTGTTTATTGAAGAGATCAACGCTTTCAGGGACACTGAAAGTGTAGTAATAGATGGCTTCAACACACTAAATGTTGAAGCCATCCTATTATAGTCATCCACATGACGTAGTTCAACTTTTTCTTTTAATTATTTATCTAGAGAGTCCAGAGAATTGTACTGCACTGGTTTTAACATTATGATATGATCAGAGATGGAAAACACCATTTACAGTCAATAATGGCAAATTACCATTGGAAATACATGGTTTTAAAGCTTTTTAACAGTTATAGCGCCACCTATGGTCCGATCTCCATGAAACTGTGCATGCTTCTTCAACATGTTATGACACATATGCTCATCAATTTTTGTAAAGTTCTGAGTTTTCCTTTAGGATTTACAGGCTTTTGGGGGCTTTTTGTCACGCCCTTTTGTAAATGACCCTGTTATAGCAAGACAAATGACAAAGTTGAACTTTTTTTGGATAATTATTGATCAAGAGAGTCCAAAGAATTATCCTAGACTAGTCTGGTTCCGATCGGGCAAAAAACCAGGGACTAGTTCGCAAAAGTAGGTTTTTAACATATTCGTGAATATTTAACGAACGAATTGATTGACAGCAATGGTTCTTGAGGCAAAGTTGTTCATCATGAGGAGATCTATCAATTGATATACATTTTGTGGGGGTGTGTGCAACACCACGTGATTACAGAGCAATAAAACTCGTTAGCGCCAACTAGTGGCCGATTTCTTTCAAAATTCTTACAGACCTCTAGGGCCATGAGTCGAACATTCCCAACGAGTTTCGTTCCGATCGGCCTTCGTTAACCTTGTTTCATAGATGCTCAAACTTCATTGGCCGATGGCGGCCATGTTTTTTGAGATACACCAATGTCCTTATAGACTTACATGAGGCCTTGGACCAAGACACTGCATACCAATTTTCAAGTCAATCGGACTGACGGTCAGGTGTTTATCTGTTTTTTTCATTTTATAGCGCCACCTAGTGTTCAATCGTCGCGACTTTTTTAGTGTCACCTCAAATTGAACTCTTACACATGTGTACCGAGTTTGGTGAAGATATCTCATTTACTTCTCGAGCTATAGCCATTTTAGTAAAATAGGCTCCTCCCACAACGTTTATTTTGCTTCCCCTAGCGACCGGAACGAGAAATTTCAACATTTTTTTGATAATTATTGATCTTCACACTCCAGAGAACATTTCTGCACTGGTTTGGTTCCGATCGGGCAAAAATCCAGGGACTAGTTTGCAAAAGTAGTTTTTCGACAAAATTCAAAATAGCGGAAAAATTTGCATACCGGAAATGAAATCGGAGATATACGTTTTTTTCGTCAGGTGACCAGCTTTCCAATGATATAAGACACTTGAGTGTACGATTTACGGTCTAGGAGTTATGAGCAGTTTCGCGCAATTGGTCGCTATAGCGCCACCTATGGGCCAATCGGGCTCATAATTTGATAACTTCTCCTCGATTTTTGTACTACCATCTGACAAAGTTTCAGAGCTGCAGCCCTTACGGTTTGGTCTGCACTATGCGTTTTAGGGGAGAATAATAATAATAATAATAATAATAATAAAAATCAATACAAAAACAATAGGGTTTCAGCACTTCGTGCTTGAACCCCTAATAAAAATCCTACCAATTACAATAGGGTTTCAGCACTTCGTGCTTGAACCCCTAATAATAAAAATCAATACAATTACAATAGGGTTTCAGCACTTCGTGCTTGAACCCCTAATGATTCGAGCTTTGCTATATGGTGCATTGTCCTGCTGGAAGTAAACATCAGAGGATGGGTACATGGTGGCCATAAAGGAATGGACATGGTCAGAAACAATGCTCGGGTAGGCCGTGGCATTTAAACGATGCCAAATTGGCACTAAGAGGCCTAAAGTGTGCCAAGAAAACATCCCCCACACCATTACACCACCACCACCAGCCTGCACAGTGGTAACAAGGCATGATGGATCCATGTTCTCATTCTGTTTACGCCAAATTCTGACTCTACCATCTGAATGTCTCAACAGAAATCGAGACTCATCAGACCAGGGAACATTTTTCCAGTCTTCAACTGTCCAATTTTGGTGAACGCTTTGCAAATTGTAGCCTCTTTTTCCTATTTGTAGTGGAGATGAGTGGTACCCGGTGGGGTGTTCTGCTGTTGTAGCCCATCCGCCTCAAGGTTGTGCGTGTTGTGGCTTCACAAATGCTTTGCTGCATACCCTTGTAACGAGTGGTTATTTCAGTCAAAGTTGCTCTTCTATCAGCTTGAATCAGTCGGCCCATTCTCCCCTGACCTCTAGCATCAACAAGGCATTTTTGCCCAAAGGACTACCATATACTTGATGTTTTTCCCTTTTCACACCATTCTTTGTAAACCATAGAAATGGTTGTGCATGAAAATCCCAGAAACTGAGCAGATTGTGAAATACTCTGGCACCAACAACCATGCCACGCTCAAAAATTGCTTAAATCACCTTTCTTTCCCATTCTGACATTCAGTTTGGAGTTCAGGAGATTTTCTTGACCAGGACCACACCTAAATGCATTGAAGCAACTGCAAAGTGATTGGTTGATTAGATAATTGCATTAATGAGAAATTGAACAGGTGTTCCTAATAATTCTTTAGGTGAGTGTATGTCTCAATTCTATAAGTGAATGTCCAGATATTCACTCCATTTTGACTATACAAGTTTGCCAGATGGAATAAGTACTTACCAGCATAGACTAACATAGAAATGTATAATAGCTTTTCTATATAAATATATGCATTGATGGACAAAAAACAATCAAACAGGTTGATCAATAACTTTCCATGTATTGTTAAACAGGAATAATTTCCAAGAGTTTCCCTAGGCCCTTTCTGCCTCAAAACCAGAGTCCTTCAAGGGTCCTGTTTGGTAAACCCGCACCCGCCCCATACCTGCAGTACCTACAGAACACCCGACCCGTTATCCGACAGCAGCACTAATTTAAGAACAATACAAAAACTTTCGGCCACTGCAGGTAGTTTATATAGAGATTTGGAAGCAAATGGGATTAACTTAGGATCAATCCCAATTCACCCCTTGGCCCTACCCCTTGTTTTCAAGTGTACCCCTTGGCCCTTAAAACAGAGTTACAAGGGCCAAGGGGTTGAAATATTCCCCTACGAAATAGAACAACCCTTCATGAACCCGATACGTCATCAGTCGCCGGCGATGGCTCTGCCGTTGCAGGATTTCTCCATGACAACAACTGACAATCAGTGTAGCTGCTCTTAACTTTGAATAAACATCATGATTATAACATCCCTTCCTCGAAATGTATGTATTTTCTGGTCGGAAAGGTAATTTATTCTACCATTTCTTAATTTAAACGACTATAGTGTTATTATAAGAGTAAATAAAGTGCGTGGTGGACTTCGCCCTACCCCTCGATCTCAACAAGAATCGGGACACCCTACCCCTAGACGTGAACGCGCAAGACGGAGAGGTAAGGGGTGAATTGGGATTGAGCCTTAGATTAGTCAGTGGTTTTTACATCCTGGCACAGGCTTGGAATCCTGCTTCTCACAGGACGTCCTGTCTGCTGTCCTTTCTGCCTCACCAGATCCTCTTTATCTCCTCTCCACCACTCTCAGTTCAAAGGTTTCCCAAAGAACAATGAGCAAATCCTTGCTAAAAGGGTATCCTTAGATCAATTTCATGCTGGAGAAAGAGTTTGTGTGACTCATATGCCTCTGGTCATCACTAGAGTTTGTAAGACATGACACAAGATGTCAACCAACACACAAGATTTTACTGATGATCTGTGTTTCTTTTGTGAGTCACTTTTTGAAGGTCATCCACTGCTTTATTGTAACAGACGTGAATAAATCTCCATAGTGGGTGGATGATTACTAGTTTCCTTCTGCTCAACGTTTTATTCCTCTCTGTTACTATCTCCATAAATTTTTTTTCCACAAGCTCAAAGGAACTAGGGATTCTGGTTAATGGGTGGGCGGCACTGAACTCAACCAACCAGAGTGCAGTGGTTCTTTACACAGCACGATTAGAACCATAAGGGACCTCTGATGAAAGAACAGTTCAGGACCAAATGAGTGTGTTTGTGGTGTTTTTTACATCCCCGCTGTGAAGGATCCAGATAGCCTGTCCCTATGTGCCTCCAAGAACTGCAGAGAACAAACTTTTCCACCTTATGCTTCTCCTTCTGTCCTATTTCCTCGGCCCGTTGTCATACTGCATGCTTTTTGTGCAATGTAAAACAGGTCTTATGCTTCAACCCATCTGAAAAATCTTGTCTTTTTGTCTCCTCAGGTTTTGTCGTCTTTGGTACCATCGTTGATTGGTTACCTCAGTGACAATGATGTCAATGACACTGCCCTTGGTGTGTTGGTTAATGTGGCTCAGGCAAGCCCTGCCTCTCTCGCTCCCTACCTGTCTACACTGAGAAATGTAGGTCAGAAGAACCCTTGGTTGTTGGGACACATCGCTAAGATCCATGGGACAGTGGGTCTGACTAGTGAGGCGGGTATTTATGTTTTCGTACATTAAAAGCTTGTTCTTATGTCAGAATGCTCTTAACATGACACCTTCATAATTATGACATGACATGAAGTTTTATGAATGTCTGTGGCAACTGTCATTAAGTGTCATTCGCTCAGTTATGACATTTTTAATGCAAATATGACATTGTTTGAGATGTCTTTGACATGACAACTTGACATTACTAAGACAACACAACCTGTCATAAACATGTCATAGCAGATTAAGTATCAAACTTAAGAAACCACCTAGCTTTATTGGTTAACATTACATTAAACTATCAGGTGATTGGTTTTGACATAGCCTGCCATGAAGCCATTATAACTTTTAATGACAAATTCAATTAGTACCACTGTATTTGAGGTCACGAAAAATATTCATGACACAGTTATAATGGCCTCATGACAGCCAATGTCAAAGGCAACCACATGACAGTTTAACTTAATTTTGTGATGTATTGGTTTATGATGTATTGGTTTATGTCAAGATGTCATAACAAAGACATCTTAAACAATGTCATATTTGCATTCAAAATGTTATTATTGAGGGAAAGACACAAAATGCATAAACCCAACTTCATATTCAAGACATGGTTATGAAGGTGTCATGTCAGTCTTATGCACATTCCTTCAAGTAAAGTGTTACCGATTCGTCTGACTGAGTGTTTGAAAACTATACAATCATGACACTGACCTGCTGTATCAAAAAGTATTTTCATTTTTTGCCTCAGGGCGTTAAAAATTCAGTAGTTTTAATTTTTCATTCAGCAATTTGTCACTTAAAGAGCCATTCAGTAGTTCTTTAGCCATTAGCATTGTTGTTCTTTGTCTACTTTAAGTGCAGATGGCATTGCTCATCTCTGAGGTTTTTGTATACCACACTAATAGTTGGCTACATCATGGAATTTCATACCTTCTAGATGCCATGGACACACTGAAATCATGGGAGGGACCCCCATCTTGAAATTTAAAAGGCAGTTATATAAGTTTAAAGACCCATTTAATGTTAATTATTTGAATCAAATGATATTGTTTAAATATTTTGTTGGATTTGTATGTATTTATTTGAATCGATTTATTATTTGAATCATCTTGTGAATACCGTAGCAACATTTATTCTTGTTTTACCTTTGTCTCCGCTGGTAAAGCACAATAATTAAATGTAATTGTATATATTTTTTATTAAACAACACTACGCTACTAGTAACCTACAAAGGCCAATGAGTGGGACGATTCCCTCTGACAAGTCAGCATGGTGAAATACATTGAGATGAGTGACATGCACCATATAAAATTAAAAAACTAATAAACACTGTTCAGATGATTACTAATGAATGTACCTTTAAAAATGTGCCTGCTCATGGCGTGAGACGCTGAACAAAAAGTCTATTGCATAGTTCCTTTATACATTCAGAATAAAGGAACAAGTCTTTGTGAATAACAATCAAGAAGCATATTCCAGTGCACGTTATTTTTAAGCCTTTGCACTAATAGCTTTTCTCTCTATCTTACCTTTAAAATGCACTGTTGCATATCACATACCACTGGTAGGACTTTTTCTTCTCACATAATAAAACCGTAATTACTGTGAGATTTATTGTTGAAGGCAGTGAATGAGTGGTGCTTTGATGTGTCTAATGTTGTTGCTCTAGGGGTGAATGTGGAAACGGAGGTGTTGAAGCACGCTGCTAAAATCTTTATTAGACTTTAGACACTTCACGTTTCTCTTGGAGTTGAAACAGCCATGCTGCAGTTTTTTTTTGTCTTTATGGGGAATTTCAGAGCAGATCTGGGCAGAATTATGTTCATTGTTGTATGCGATGAAGAGTTAAGATGGATGAGGAACGCGAGTTGTATCACTCATCGGTCGTGTCTGTGTGTGCATGTGCATGTGTGGATCTCCGGTTTCTTTGTGTTGGTATATTGGCACCCTGGACTGTTTGTTCCAGCATGTTTTGTATCATTATTAGAGGTATTCCATCATGTTAGGGAAATCAGAAGAGCGGAAAATGGACTTTGCTCTTTTTGGTCCATTGTTTTAGTACAAACACCCGTTTTCACTAGACTTCCTCTTTTTATTTTTTATCTTTCTCTCTTTGATTCTGTCTGTTCTCCTTTCCCTCTAACTGACCCTTTGCAGGAAGCTTGATTGACAGGTGATCTGACCAATCATACTTCGTCATCCGCCAATTTATCTGACAAAGCAGTCAGGAGAGATAGTAGATTAACATATTTGAACTTGAAATACGGAATATACTGATGCCTTTCCACGGTTAAAGCAACATTCCTTCTAATGTTCATTCATTTTTATTTGATGCTATAAATAAACAAGAAGGAAGAGATGATCGGATCACGAGCAGCTTTAACTGATGCTCTTTAGCGATCTGTCACAACACATTAAAGAGCCACAAAACGGTATTTATTTGGTACCAAATTTGGTAAAAATGACCGAAACGATCGCTCATTTAAAAAAAAAAAAGTTTAAGTTTTATAAGCTCAAATGGTTGCCTTGCTCTGTTCTGTGATGCGTGTTTGTGACTCTTCTGTTTGAACTCGTTTGATGAACGAAGTCAGTCTTTTTTCGTGTCATTTGGTTCATTCAACGAACGAAATGAACGAGTTGACTCTGGAAAAGATTTGTTCATTTTGATGAACAAGGTTGTATAGGAGTCACGAATGCGCATCACAGAACAGAGCAAGGCGACCATTTGAGCTTATAAAACTTTAACTTTTTTTTTAATGAGCAATGGTTTCGCTTGATAAGACCCTTATTCATCGTTTAAAGTCCTTTGAACAGTTGAAACTGTATTTTGGACCTTGAACCATTTGGTTCCCATTGAAGTCCATTATATGGAGAGAAATCCTGGAAAAACTTTAATTTCTTTTCGACTGAGGGGCGGGTCTTTGCGAACGGTCAATTGTCTTTATTTCCACATTTTCCACAATAAATGTAATAAATAAAACATTTTGTTGTTGTTTTTTTGAGCATAATAGTTCAATACATTAACCGGTAACACTATATATTGATGGTCCCTTTTGAACATCCTCTTGACTATAAGTAACTTAGCAACTACTTGTCAGCTAACTCTCATTAGAGTAATAGTAGACTGTCTGCTTAATATCCGATAACTTTTTATTGTGATTAACCTCCAACAGACAATCTACTGACTATAAGGAGCTTTGAAACTACATGTTAACTTATTCTATCCCCAACCCTACCAGCCTACTCTACTAACACTGTAGTGAGAGTTAGGCCATGTCCACACTAATACGTTTTCGTTTGAAAACGTATATTTTTCTCTCCATTTTGGCCTTTGTCCACACTGAGACGCCGTTTTAAGTCAACAAAAACGTATCTTTTGGAAAACGCTCTCCAAAGTGGATAAATTTGAAAACGCCATTTTCGCATTGTAGTGTGGACAGTGAAGCCGGAGGTATTTCAAAACGATGACGTAAGTTTAGTCATGTGATCCATCTAGTACCCATAGATATTCATGTTTATTGGTATTGTACCTGTATGTGTTATTAATTTTTTACAATGTTGCTAAAATATGTTACTTTCTATGTTACTTAATATGTGCTATTCTTCATAGCACAGTACTGCAAAGATGACAGATAATGTACTCACATTTGCTGTCCTGCGGCAAAACAGGAGAGCGGTTGCGTTTTAGACCAAACTGAATGCGACCTGGATGCATCATTGATGGTGAAATATTTTGCTAAATAAACCTATCCTGTTAGAAGAATTGCGCGATAACTTTATTATTTATTTTCCCCTCTGTATTGTCTCAGTGAGCTTTTGTGAAGTTTCCCGCATGCGCAATAAAGTGAATTTAGAAGTTTCTCATCCACACTGAAACGGCAGAAAACGCTAGTGTGGACGGAGAGCGTTTTTTAAACGAAAACCCCGTTGTCAAATGTATCTGGATTAATGTGGACGTAGCCTTAGTAGAGATGTTGGTACAGCGTCAACTGAATGTGTTAAAAGGACCATCCAAATAAAGAGAAACCAACAGCGTTTTATGGTTCGTATACGTAGTATGATATAGTGAGAATATTGAGCTCATTCTCAAGGTGGAAAAAAATACCCCACATTAATTCAGAGGCTCAAACTGAGCAAAAAAAGCAGTTTGATCCAGTTTTTGATAATTATATGGCCAAAAAATATTGTATATGCAAAAAGTAAACCCAAGTTCTTTCAATCAGTAAGTGTCCATCTTGAGATCACCACTTTCAGCACCCTGGCATTGTGTTGGTGACTTTTGCCAACTCACATTTTCTTCAAAAACTGTAAAACGTACTTCATCTTCTTTAGTTCTACAACACTCCTCCATCCCCCAACTTTGTCTTATGCTTTTGTTCTTCATTCTGCAACTACAGTACTTGTTAGCAGTAATTTAGTCACTAATGGCTCCGCTCACTTTTTTTGTGCCATCCTCTCTTTCATGTTAATTGAGTAGAATGGAAGTGTTGACAAAGTTCTGGATGTGTCCGCATCACTAAGCTGTTCCAGAATTAAATCACTCAGGGTGCTTCTGAAATTAGTGAGGATGCTTTAGTAAAGTGCAGATGTAATGTGTAAGCAACGGCTCCACCATAACAAGAATAGCAATTTACAGTGAGACTATTAAGATTATTTACAAAAAAATATATATACGAAAATGTGAATATTTTTCTGTTAAACTATTAGTCTGAATTTACCTAGCTTAATGTGTCTCTATTTTGACATATTTTTTTGTCCTGTGCTGTGGTTATCATGATGTCAATCATTGTAATTTCGAGAATGAGTCCAGCATTAATATGTAAATGTCACTTCCAAAACTTTGCAGCGTATAATTGGCAGTATTTCCTCTTATTCTGTCCCTTCCTACTCGTGGTGGGCCACTGTCTTCCAGAGTTCAGCTCCAACCCCAATTATACAAACCTGATCCAGTTAATCAAGATTTTAGGCTTACTAGAATCTTCCAGGCAGGTGTGTTGAGT